TCGGAAACGGCGAGAACGCAGAGGTCGTACTCGCGTCCTGCAACCAGATCAGTCAAGAAGAAGGATTTACTACCAGCTGGGATCATCCTGGAAGAGAAAACGAGCACAAATGAGTCGCTCGAGCCTCGAGGGAGAGCTCTCCTGACCTCCTCGCGCTCTACAACCGCCCGGAAGGAGGTTGGAGCGAGGTTGGTGGGGGAAAAAAAAATCGATCTCTTCTCCCCAGAGAGGAAACGGGCTCGAGTCGCGCCGGGGGAGGTTTAGATTGGACGTCGGGAGCGATTTCTTTACTCAAAAGAGGGGCGAAGCGTTGGAAGAGGCTGCCCAGGGAGGCGGTGGGGTCCCCGCGCCCGGAAGGCGTCCGAAAGACGCGGCGTTTCGTGACGTGGTTTAGTGGTCGCGGCGGCGTTGGGCTGATGGTTTCGTCATTCTCTGATTTTTAGGGTTCTGCGGTTCCGTAATTCTGTGAGATTATGATTCCACGGTTTCATAATTCCATGATTTGATGGTTCTGTGGTTTTCTAATTCTGTGATTTTACGGTTCTCTGGTTTCACGATTCTAAGATTTTCTGGTTCTACGGTTTCACAATTCTATGATTTTATGGTTCTGTGGTTTCACGATTCTATGATTTGACGGTTCTATGGTTTTCTAATTCTATGATTTTACAATTCTCTGGTTTCGTGATTCTATGATTTTAGGGTTCTACAGTTTCATAATTCCATGATTTGATGGTTCTATGGTTTTCTAATTCTGTGATTTTACGGTTCTCTGGTTTCACGATTCTAAGATTTTCTGGTTCTACGGTTTCACAATTCTATGATTTTATGGTTCTGTGGTTTCACGATTCTATGATTTGACGGTTCTATGGTTTTCTAATTCTATGATTTTACAATTCTCTGGTTTTGTGATTCTATGATTTTAGGGTTCTACAGTTTCATAATTCCATGATTTGATGGTTCTATGGTTTTCTAATTCTGTGATTTTACGGTTCTCTGGTTTCACGTTTCTAAGATTTTCTGGTTCTACGTTTCACAATTCTATGATTTTATAGTTCGCTGGTTTCACAATTCTATGATTTTCTGGTTCTCTGGTTTCATGATTTTATTTGTTTTATGATTCTCTGGTTTCACGATTCTGTGATTTGATGGTTCTACGGTTTTCTAATTCTATGATTTTAGGGTTCTATGATTTCACTATTTTATAGGTCTCTGGCTTCATGATTCTAAGATTTTTCTGGTTTTACGATTTCACAATTCTATGATTTTATGGTTTTACGGTTTCACAGTTCTATGATTTTAGAGTTCTCTGGTTTCACGATTCTGTGATTTTGTGATTCTACGGTTTCGTAACTCTGTGATTGTATGGGTCTATGATTCTAGGATTCCCTGATTCTCTGGATTAATAATTCCATGATTCCGTGATTCTGTGGTTTTATGATTCCGTGATGCCGTGATCCTCAGGCAAGGCAAAAGAGCCGGCTGGCGGCGGCCATCCCAACATCCTCCTCCTCATTTCAACGTTTTTTTCTCTCGGCAGAGGAAACCAGGGCGTCTCATCAACGTATCATCCCTCGATTATCCGTAGAGAAAGCGTCGCTCTTAAATACTCATCTTCTAATTTATTGCGTGGAGCTGCAGCTAATTAAAGTTCGACGATCGCCGGCTACGAGAGATTAAATTTGACGCCGAGACCGTTGCCTTTGATGACCGTCACGCTTCTAATTGACTGGGACATCAAGGGGGTCGTTAGGAAGCTCTGGTAATCCGCCGCTCGGATCAGCGCTGCTACAAATTGAAGCTCATCCTCGGAGTCAATTTAAAAAAAAAAAAAAATAGAAAAAAAGAAAAATTTTCTGACCTGAGGTCTCGTGGAGAGGGATGGGAGCTCATCCAGGGAGACCTGAGATCTGTGAATCGGGTTTTCCATCCTCCTCTTGCCAGATGTAGGTTTGTCTTCTCCGCCCTAGATCCCGTCCCGCGGGAGGCGAGGAATTAAGCGACTCGGGAATTAAGCACGCTTACCCGCAATTACCTCTCCGGAGGGAGAAGGAGGTGGGAAGCCGAGGAAAAAGAAACGAGCCGGAGGAACGGCTTAAATTCTCGAGATGAAGCGAAGTCGCCATAGCAACTTGACGAGGAGCGACAGGTTTCTGAGGCGTCCCCGCACCGCTGAATGCTTTTTCGGGGCGGCGAGCGATCGCCTGCCAGAAAGAAATCGCGCTCGTGGGTTCGGAGGAAGCTTTTCGCCTTCTGTGAATTCATAGAATCAGAGAATCGTTAAGGTTGGAAAAGTCCAAGAAGGTTTTCACTGTCTGTGAATTCACAGAATCGGAGAATCCTTGAGGTTGGAAAAGTCCAAGAAGGTTTTCACCATCTGTGAATTCACAGAATCGGAGAATCCTTGAGGTTGGAAAAGTCCAGGAAGGTTTTCACCACTCGTGAATTCACAGAATCGGAGAATCCTTGAGGTGGGAAGAGTCCAAGAAGGTTTTCACCGCCCGTGAATTCACAGAATCGGAGAATCCTTGAGGTTGGAAAAGTCCAAGAAGGTTTTCACCGCCCGTGAATTCACAGAATTACTAAGGTTGGAGATGACGTCCCAAGTCCAACCCAACACCACCACGACCACCAAACCACGACCCTGAAGTGCCGCATCTACGCGGGTTTGTTTTTTTTTCAATCCCTCCACCGCTCCCCTGCGCCTCCGCGGATCTTTCAAGCGGCACCGACGCGAATGTTCTCGCAGCCGAAGGGGTGAAACGAGGCTTCACCTTCCATGAGATTTTGGAAAACCCCCAGAGAAACGTCTACTTCAAGGACTTCATGCAATTTTCATACGCAGTACTGGGGGTTTTTTTGTGGTTCTTTCCTTTTTTTAAAAAAAAAAACAAGAACTCGCTCGCAACGGGAGGTATTTGAAACCGGAATCCCAGCGGAAGAGCTGTCCTACATTCCAGGCCTTAGGGGACTTCTTACAAAAGCAGCGTTTTCCAACCCAAAAAACTTCTCAGGGCTCTTTCTGAAGATCTGCCAGATGCCGTTCTCCTGTTTCGCTCCGAACTTTGACGCGGCTCGTAGAAAAATCCAGTTGTCGCCCCGCTCAGAGACGTCGTCGAGGCACAGAAGGTTGGGAAAGACCTTTAAGATCATCGAGTCCAATCGTTAACCCAACCCTGCCCGTTCCACCATTAAAACCACATCCCCGAGCGCCGCGTCCACGTGGTTTTTGAACGCCGGCCCTGTGCAGCTCGTTCCAGGGCTTGACGACCCTTTTTGGGGAAGAAATTGCTCCTCGCGTCCGATCTAGACCTCCCCTGGCGCGACTTGGAACCTCCCTTCCCCGTATTTCGGAGTGAAATCATTGCACCGCGCCGGCGTAAGAGGTGAATAAAACCTCCTTCTCCATTTCCTAACAGCCAAGATCGGAGAATTGCAGAACCAAGGACGGTTTGGAATGGAAGGAACCTCAGAAGTCACCTTGGTCCGACCCCTCTGCCGTGAATCTTTTTTAACGAGGTCGGTTGCGAAAGGACAAAGAGCAGTTTTAAATTAAAAGACGGGAGATTTAGATTAGGTATAAGGAGACATTTTTTTTTCTTTTTTGACAATGAGGGTGGTAAAATGCCCGCCAGCGAGGTGGTGGAGGCCCCATCCCTGAAGACATTTGTGGTCAGGCTTAGTGGGGAGCTCTTGGACTCCGAACCGCCGATTTAGAGAGAATTTTTTGGGGCGCAAAATACCGATTTAAGGAGCTTTTGGGGCTCTGAGCAACCTGATCTAGTGAAAGACGGACCGGACGAAATGATGGGGCGACAGGACGGGTTCCTTCCACCCCAACGCGTTCTACAACCCTATAAATTATTTATTTTCATGGCGTAACTCCTCCGAAAGCGGAGTTGAACGGGTGAAGTCTGAGGCTCCGGCGGGCAAGCTGGCTCTTACGCCGCTGGGTACGGCGCTCCCCCTCCCCATCTTCCTTCCACCACCCGCTTCATTACCTGTACACCAGGATGTCGTCGGCG